AAGAATCGGCCATCTCGCGCAGCATATCCTTCGTAGGGGGGAATCCTCGCGCGTCGAGGTTGAGTATGTGTTCGATTATCGCCTGCTCTTCTATAGGCGTGAGGTTCTTGCAGTTGGGTTGGCAATCGCGTCGGAAGGATTTTTTAGCGCGTCGGTCGATTAGCGTGGTTCGGGGGACGTTGTAGGCCAGGGCAGCCTCTTGTACTGATTTAATATCGCGTTTCTCGATAGCTTGAAGAGCAAGCTTAATCCTAGCTTCCTGCGCATTAATATCTTTGCGTGGTTGTTGAGGCATTATACTGGTTCGTCTGGGATGATGCGGGATCGGTGGGCGCTGTCGGCTCGGTGATATTGACGACTCGGTGATGAAACACGTTAGTTACTCTAACATCAGTATCTGTAGATTCCGCCAGTGAGGCCTTGTCGCTTTACTAATCACAGGATTAATATCATTTCATGATGGTTTCAAACCCAATAATTCACAGTATATGAGTATCTTATACCCAGAGGAGGATGGGTTGGATGCAAATTGAGATATCAACAAGCAAAATGACTGGGAGAATGTGTATAAATATGGCATTAGTCAAAATCGTATAGATAAAAAGGATCCAGCTGCATTCGCTTCTCGCCTTAGCTAGGAATAATTTACATTAATATTTCATTTCCTAGCGACTGCACGCCTAAAAGGCATATTACACCTGCGCTTATTGGAATATAAAAGCCAATAAGACCTTTAACATTCTTTGTGCGTCAGATTCATAGCTAGATTGCTTAACTCCAAAGTCTACTTCCAGCATGTTCCGAACTATGTAGAAAGAGTTGACCATTCGGGTATCTGTTCCTTACAGAAAAATAGAAAGGAAACCACCATAGGCTTTGGGTTCTACAGCCGTTTCTAACCATACCCACTCCAGTTCCAGTCTAGAAAAGAAACTCCACCCTGGAAGAACTGCCAACTATCACAAAACCAAGCCTGTCGTGCCTCCATATTTTGCCATCATGTCCCCGTGCGTTGTATGATAAATCTTGATGATTTATACGTCAATGTAGACGCTCTAAACCGCTCCAATGGCCCTCCATGACTCCTGGCATCACAATATCACCATTTTCATCGTAATGGTCGCATCCGCCGCCATTTGGGCAGCCTAGGGCACGCATCTCGACGATATCAGCATCTCGTATACGTCGCGGGTGCTGAGTATCTGGTGCCCAAACAAGCGCGCATATCCGAACGCCTAGGCAGCGTCCATCTCCGTGAACTGATAGTGCAAATACGCAAATGGCACCACCTCGCCGACGCGCCTCGAACGGACATGCTGCATTTAACGCACGGACTGTGATCGTATCAAATAGAGCTAGAAGCGCCGGGTCATCGTAATCGGTCTGATCAAGTGCCTCCCTAAGAGCTTCCATGTTGGGGCGAGACGAGGATGCGATTTCAGGGATGAGTAGAGGTATGGAGTCGACGATACAGCAGTGGTTTCTAGGTATGGAGGCTGCAGAACGGCAAGATTTATGCAGAACGCCAGGTAAGATCGCGATACAATGTTAGGTCATAGTGTGGAGATGAAGACGTAATGTAGCACTGTAGCCCCAATACAACAACGTGACCATCAATGCAAATGGTAGCTTGACCAACGGAGGAACTGGTTTGACCATATCCGTCTGAGGCGACGATATTTCGATCGTCAAAGTGGTGGGACGTCGCGATAGCCAAGTATGACGGTGACAAGAGTGGCAAGTCTCAATAAACCGGAATAACTATGAGAATATTGAGAGTATTGAGAGCTGGACGAGTTCTCGAAAAGAACATTAGCTCGTGAGAAGATTGCAGCCGTGAGAGAGACGGATGGATTCGTAAGCTTTGCTAGGCGGCCACATAAGGTGGATAGGCGTTGTAGGAGGGCCTAGTTGTGGCGACTGCTCGCTGATCCTACGATATGACTTGCGATGTGTTAGAATTATCCTATCAGTCATGTCCACCGTACCACAACCAGAGATGAATTAATATACTGGTTATCGTAAAGTATTTGAAAGTTGCTGAAGGCGTCTAGATGGTGATGGAAAAGGAACAGACACGTTGAGATGGGAATTGTATCTCGAAACCCGGCAGGCTGCAGAAGGCCCGAACAGCATGTGGAGGGCGATCTGAATGATCTTCACCAGAATTTGAACCCTCTCGCCATTACAAATGCGAGCTGCAGCTTGTTATGACCGACTAGCTAGCTTAGCGCACTACAAGTTCCTGCTGTCGCAGCAAGCTCCTGCAAGATGTTGTCGAAAATGTATTCGCGAAGCTTATCGCCAAGGCGGGAGATATTTGAGAGTCTCCCTCGATCCTTTGCTAAATATTTGATTGCGTGGGCCCATGCGTTGCTTACTGTGAAGGATATTCCCTTTTAGCATCCTGTTCACTCCTCTAGAGTCGAGTAGGAAGTATACAATAATACATATTAGCAAACTCGGGGGCCTAATGAAATCGAAAGCCTGGCAAAATCTATGCATCTGCCAGTTCCTGCATTATTTATTCGGATCTATTATAAAAATTCAAGTAACGCATTACATTGTTCTTCTGCAAGATGCACCATGAAGGTTTGTTTCCAGGTCGCTTTTTGAGCATTTGTGGGGTAGGTAACTGAAAGCTCGGTTTAGGATGTCTACGCGGGGGTTTTTGGATTGCTGTACGACATCACTGTCTGGGCGTCTGGGTTACGGGATTGTGATAGGCCTTGGCTTGGAGCTTGCATTACATTTGTTGAGTTTGCTTCCTTACGATATGTTCAATCACCTATGACTTCTAGTCACAACAATGGAAGCTTTTACTGATATATAACAGCTTACGAAAAGTTCGTCAGTTGATATAGAGGTCATACATTGAGTGTTTCCAGATAGAGATCTTGATCGAGGTGAAAAAGCGATAATGTGGCAGGGAGAACGAGCTTTATAACGGCGAGCTTTGTGTTTGTACGAAGCTTTGCACAGTGCTTTGCTTTGTACGGCAAAGGTGTATAGTCGCTATATGCTTGCTCCTTACTAGTAGATAGTCCATAAACTATGCGGGACTCTATG